CCTCTCTCACCGTGTCTCTCTCTGTCAAATAAATTTTTAAAAAATCTTTAAAAAAAATCATGAATGAGAGTGGATGCTCACCTGGGTCACCGATATGAATGGGTTGTCCCTTATTTCCCATGGAGCAACTGGCCTGCACCAGCCTTTCCAGCTTGTCCTTGGGGGATGGGCCTCATTGTGACCACCAGGGGGCAGCAAAAGCCAGCCATGGCGACACAAGACACTGTTGTCTGAAAAGATGTTGAAAAACACAATTGACCCAGATGGAAACCCTGAGCACCAACAGTTTCAGGGCAGCTGAATGAAGGAGGGGGTCCAAGTAGCTATTATAAAAATACAGCTTCTACTTTTATGTGACATAGAAATAAGAAAGTCTGCTGGTAATGACTGGTTTAAAACAGAGAACCTTCACTTGGTATGTGCTGTGGACCTTCTGGTAGTCTGGTGCAGCTACAGACCCCCACTCCAGGTTTCTAATTGCAAAAGAGGAAATGCATAGGTTTACAAAGGACACCAATTATATTGCAAATGCAGTTATCAGATTATGAAAAAATGTGGTACAGTGATATGTATGCTTCATTAACAGCTTAAGGAACAAGAGGACAGATGGATCATTATAAATATGAAGTAGTGACCAACATATAGGATATTTCTGAGATATCAGGAAGAACTGCCATGGGACAGGAAAATATCTGGGAGTCCTTTGGGCAGCCGTAAAGTCACAGGGTCTGCTGATACAACAGCAGTTTGTTGTCTGCGTTTGGAATGGAAGGAAATGCTCAGTTTCAGTTTGAAGCTATGACAATCAAAATGTTAATTTTTTTTCATCCAATTCCACGGGCCTCTGAATTTTCTCCACGGACTTCAAGGGGCCTGTGTACCACAGGTGAAGACCTTGGGGAGAGGCAGAGCCACCCAAGGGCAAAGGATCTCGCAGGAGGCACTGAGGTCTGCTTGGCCCCCTGAGTCCACACAGGGGGTGTGGGTCTGTGTCCAGACCCCACCGAGCCCTGCCTCGCTCCTCCTGCCTTGGGATGACCTGCGTGACTTTCTCTGGTGGTGGTGTTTTCTCCCCTGAATGGTTTCTGGTCGCTGCAGTGGGGCTTACATGGCCAGGATGGTGATCGGCGGGGGCAGTCTTGGCTACTGCCGAAGGGCTTGCTGTTGGCACTGAGGGGGAAAATACGCCACCCCCAAATACACCACTTTGGCATACTGATTATTTTGAATTAAAGTTCCTTGGGAGACCGCCAGTGCAAGAAAAACATTCTGACATCCCTTCCCCCGCCCCTCCACCGTGAAAAGCAGGAAATAAATCTCCTGCATGGAGGTACCCTCCCTGTATCAGGAGGGCAGAAGGCGTCCTTATCACCCGCGATGGGAAATCCAAGGCCGAGAGGGCTCTCTCAACAAACCTTGCGACTTCCTCACTAATCTACTACCCCAAGCCCGAACTTCTCTGTCTTATCAGTCCTTCACAAATTCATTGTTTGTCTGAGAGGCACAAAAGCCTCCTGCTTTGGTCACTTCTTGGAGCCTCACACCTTTGGGGCTCCTGTAGGTACGACGCTAAATCTGTTTTTCTCCCGCTAATCCTTCTTACGTCTATTTAAGTAGGAGGCCCGCCGAAGGACGTTGAAGGGAAGAAGGGACAGGTTTCCCTCCCCTACAGCATGCTGGTGGTGTCGGTTGGTGTGTGAATCACAGCACTTGGGAAGGGACACAGGCCGGGGACTTTCACAGGGGACAGGCAGGGCTCCCCTCAGGGCCAACACTGAATACAGGAGGGCTGGCTGGTCTTTTTGGATAGAGCCCCGGGCCAGACGGGACCACGCTGAACCAAAGCTGGTGGCTAGGTGCGGTGTCATGGGAAAAGGACGGCTCTGCCGAGCACCGACTAGGAGCAGTGACGAGCACTCTGTGCCAAGCATCCCTTCCTCGTCACACCCCCACCGGTGACACTTTACAGATGGGAGCCGGGGGTCCCGGGTTCCAGGCTGGCTTTGGGATGTGGCCAAGTCCTCTTCCCTCTCCAGGCTTTAAGTTCCTCATCTAAATGAAGGGTTGTACGTGATGTACCTGCTGCAAATGGCCATGTGTTTGGGGGGCCAGACCCTGCCCGGGACCCCCATCCCACCCCAGTAGCTATACTTCTGTCCCCTCCCTCCCCTGCCCTGCGAAAACCGCTCAGGCACATACTTCACACATAAAAATTGCTTCTCGGGGCGACTGGGTGGCTCAGTTGGTTAAGCATCCAACTCTTGGTTTCAGCTTCGGTCATGATCCTGTGGTCATGGGATCAAGCCCCGCATCGGGCTCTGCACTCAGCATGGAATCGGCTTCAGATTCTCTTTC